GCTCCCGCCGAGGGTTCGGATCCCATATAGAGACCGGTCCGCTCACTGGTTGAGCACGGTGCGGGCGTGACACCGAGGGTTGCGATCCCGTTACCGGTCATGAAAAAAGACAAAAAGGAAAAAAAAAAAAGTTAATCACCCTTAAATCCATGCAGTTTGTTTGGTATAATACACATTTACACCTACATATACACACATACCTGGACACACACCTGCACATACGTCCATACACACACACTTTAATTACGAACCTCTTGGTGATAGTTCCCAGTACACTAATTAATATAAAGTCTCATAGTGGCAAAGTTATTATTATATATTTTTTTAATTCTCTTTTTATCCTTGTTTTCGAAAAGCATAATTGGAAAAAAACCAGTTTTACTTCAATACTAAAATTCTTGCTACCCAAGAGAGAAGGCCTCAGGCTTGGAGCCATGGCCTGCAACAACAGTATCTAGAAAGAATCTAATCGTTTTTATTTTTATGGCCACATTCTATTTATAGTGTGTGAAACTGGCTTTCCAGTTATGAAAATTTTCTTTAAAAATAAATTGACTTTGCAGAAAGTATTAAATAAGCAATAGTGCAGATGGTGTGCAGATATGACAAACTGTGAAAGTGCACACAAATAGTAAAGTTTGGGAGACAGTTTTATAAAGTACTCGTGCGTAGTGGAAGAAATACCTTTAAAAAGAGCACTTATGGGGGAGAAACATTCATAAACACTGAAGTGAAGATGACCTGATTTCTATGTTTGACTTCTTACGTTTCACAGTTTATTTTCAGGAAAGCTCTAGAGAGGTGGCAAACTTGGAAACACATAGAAAGCACTCAATATGTGGCAGAAACCCTGTTCTAGAGAAATAAAGACTCAAGGAGCATTTGGCTGAAAGCAGAGGTAGGAGAAGAGAGCAGCTCCTGGAATACGTAGCACCTTCCTGGGTTTATCTCTAAGCAGCATCGTGAACTCAGGTTGCACGGGAGAGGGAGCAGGTGCCCTGTGTCTTGTAGTGGCGTCTTACATGATAATCCTTCGGGAGAGACTCGCTGTTGCTGTTTTTTTCATATGAAACACTTAGAAGTGTTTTTCAATTTCCAGAGGAACTATGTCTTTTTTGTCATTTCTTTTTTGGAACACACCACCTTCTCTCTTGACCTTTGTTTGCCTACATTTACAAGAACAATGAGTGTAAATAATTTCTCTTCCCTCCTAATCTGACCGTAAGGAAGCTTGTCCCTTAGGCTTCTGGTTGGAATACAGTAGAGGGGGCGGGGTCTGCAGTCCAGTGTCCAGAGACTGAGTGGGGGAGGTCAGGCCCAGTGTGCATCTTTCCAAGAGAAGCCACAAACCCAGAGGCCTTCTTTTGAGGGGGAAGGGCGAATGCATGTGTCTTTATTAAAAATAATGACAGTGTTAAATGCCTTTCTTTTTAAGTGCAGAGAGCTAATTAAACACCATGTGTATACATGAGCATGCACACACACACATATACATACCCATTGGCCTTGTATGTCCTACAAAATGCATCTCTGTATTTTCTTTTTATCTTCTGGAAGGAGGTAATCACTAAATGGTTTGGGGCAAAAACTGCCATAAGTTTGCCTGATGTTGTTGACCGGGATTTGACCTTCCAGGATTAGGGAGCACATGGTGGTTGGGAGCTGGCTGGAGACCTAGAGGTTCACAGTTACGGTGGAAAGGCCTGTCCTGGGAAGCTTTAGCTCCTTGTAGTTTCCAGAGTTTCCCCATTTCCAAGCTAGTCTGATCCACCTACAGTATACCTATCAGCAGTATGCTTGCTGGACAAATTCAGGTCCCAGACAAGTCCTCTAGAGCCCCCTACCCCAACAAAACCACCACCCCTGGGACCTCCATGGGACCATCTGGAGCTGAACCTACAGCCCAATAAGTTAGTTTGCTTGGGTGGAGCAGAGAACACAAAGTCATAGAGCAAGGAGGAGCTGTGAGATGCAGCACTCCAGAAGTGCGTCCGGCAAGCGGAGTAAAGGATTGTGATCTGAGAGCCCTTGAGTTCACTGCCATGCATTATTAATAATTCCACAGCAACTCTTCCACAAGGCACTTTACTACCTTTAATTAAAACCCCTCTAGGAAATGGGGAAATGCATCCTTTGGTTGCAAATTTGTTGCTGAGCAAACCTGTGATAAGCACCAGGCACTGTGCCCATTTACATTTCGCCCAGAGCTTTCCTAGGATTTGCTAACTTCTTTTACGCTGACAAAACCAAACTTTCCAGATGTAATTCTGATTTGTAACAGTGAAGCTGGTCTTCTCAGCCTCACATGGGCCTCTGTACAGGAGCAAAGGCCCTGGCCCTGGCCCTGGTTTATATCCCTGCTTTGTAAAAGGACTTTCTCAAATCTAAAGGCAAAAACAACAGCCACCACCACAAAAACCTTGACATCATCTAAGTGGACAGGATAATTTGAGTTTCTAAATTTCTAAGGCAGCACTGAATCTAACTAGTTACAAGCGCCTTCACACAAATCGTCTACGTCTTGATTCCCTCGGTCCCACAAAAGACTTAAAACATATGTGCATAGACACACATTTCAGCTCCTCTGATGACTCAGGTGGGCTAGTGTCTTCATGTTTTCTGTTTTTTAATCATAACCAGTGGTATGCTGGTAGATGTTGAATCACCAGTTCTCTGGGGGTATAGGGGGGACTCTATTTCTTTAAAGCCCTATTGGTTTATATTGGTGGCATGAATGCTTTTACCAAGGCCAGTTCCAAGTTACCAAGCTGATGTCACTGAACACAGTTGAGAAGAGACGTGTACATGCACAGCAGCTCTTGTGAGCAGGTGGAGCCAATTCCAGCACGTTTCACACAGTAACCCCCTACACACACGCGCATGCACACACACACAAGCCAGAAACAAACTTTATTAAATAATACTTCTACTTCGTGCAGTTCATGCATTCTGATATTTTTAAAAAACTGTTCTCCACCG